TTGTGTAAGTTAGGTAGAGCATGGAAGGACACAGGGAGGCACTGGGTACAAACTGTAAGCCAAAGAAGAGTAACGGAACATCTTAATAAGAAATGTCTTGGTACAAAGACTCCCTAAAAACTAATGCACATACCGACCTAGGTTCAGGACCAGGTCAGAATTGACAGCATGAAGGATAGTAAGGAAGCCCCCCTTTCATAAGGTGAGGGGTGGTAACTAGGCAACAGAGGGTGGCAACCCAGTACGTAAATAAGTGATGTAAGTTGTTTGTATCTGTCTATAAAAGGACACCGCAAAAGGTGCTCTCCGGCCGACCTTGGCAGGTGTCATTGCCTGAACTTACAGAATGCACAGTAGCTTACCTTTGACTAACTGCTGTTAATATCTGTTCTATGGCAATAGGCCTGCCTGGTGTTGGTACCTTGTCAACGCGGGCCATAGTGCCCAGTGGTGTAGCATTGTACTGATCTCTGTTACCAACTGGTAGAGCTTCGCATTTGACAATAAACCTGCTCGATTGATTTCAAACCTTGCCTGCATCTGTTGTTTCCGGGGCCTCTCAGAGATCTCCTGTGTTGACCCAAGCGCATGGGGTCTAACACTCTAGATAAAGGGAGTACCAATTGTTACGCATGCAGCCGAAAATGTCTCATCACCAACGGAGTAGAGGGCCTGTCAGGTGTGCGCCAGGATGACCCTGACCAAACAATGCTGACACTGACAGTTCAGACCACCAAAGGTACCGAGGTACAAGACACTGAGGTACAACAGTTAGTAGCTTCCTTTTTCTTTTTTTTGGAGTGGTAAGTTGTGTCTGCATTGGCGCGATCTAGTGCAAAAGCAGCTGCTTTTGCACAAAAACTTGCTGTCTGTCTACACTGGTCGCGAGTTCTTGCGCAAGTAAACTGATGTTCTAAAGTACGAAATCAGTGTTTATTGTACAAGAACTCCGATGCTCCCACTCAGGAATAAGCTCTCTTACACAACTGCTCTTGCTCAAGAGGCCAGTGTAGACAGACAACATGAATTTCTTGTGCAAGAAAGCCCTATGGTTAAAATGGCCATCAGAGCTTTCTTGCTCAAGAGAGCGTCTACACTGGCATGGATGCTCTTGCGCAAAAGCACATCTCTTGTGCAAACACCCATGCCAGTGTAGATGCTCTCTTCTGGAAGAGTTTTTGCACAGGGAAGGGTGGGTGAATTCTATAAGTTCTTGCACAAGATCATGCCAGTGTAGCCGTAGCTGTAAGGTTTTTCCTCTGGTTCACCAAACTTTTCTGATACAGCAACTTCACTGTGCTGTTAGGTCTTACAATCAAAGCTTCTGCAGTGGGTCTCTGTGGGTATGTCTATGCTACAGAGAAGTTTGAATCTGCCACAGTCAATCTTCGAGGGCTTGAATTAGCAGGATATATGCAAATTCAAACTGAGATGGGCACTCCCGTCGATGCCGGTAGTTCTGCTTCTATGAGGATGAAGGGAAGTCAAAGGGAGTGTGTGCTCCCTTCGACTTCCTGCAGTGTGGATGGCACCAAAAGTCAAGTTAAGACACTTCGTCTTACGCTACACAATTAACGTAGCTAAAGTTACGTATCTTAATTCGAACATCTCCCCAAGTATAGACCTACCCTGAGTGACCAGAGGTTTTACAACAAGAATGAACATAAGAACATAAGAACGGCTGTACTGGGTCAGACCAAAGGTCCTTCTAGTCCAGTATCCTGTCTGCCGACAGTGGCCAGCACCAGGTGCCCCAGAGAGGGTGGACCGAAGACAACAATCAAGCAATTTGTCTCCTGCCATCTCTCTCCAGCCTCTGACAAACAGAGGCCAAAGACACCGTTTTATCCCCTGGCTAATAGCCTTTTATGGACCTAACCTCCGTGAAATTATCTAGCTTCTCTTTAAACTCTATGGGTATGTCTACACTACCACCCTAGTTCGAACTAGGGTGGTTAATGTAGGCAACCGAAGTTGCAAATGAAGCCCAGGATTTGAATTTCCCGGGCTTCATTTGCATCTTGCCGGGCGCTGCCATTTTTAAATGTCCGCTAGTTCGGACTTCGTGCCCGCGGCTACACGCGGCACGGACTACGTAGTTCGGACTAGGAAGCCTAGTGCAACCTTATCATTTTAGACACCCTTTTAGATACCTGAAAACTGCTATCATGTCCCCCCTCAATCTTCTTCTTGATTGGGATTTGGAAGCCCACTTTACTAACCTCAGGCCAAACACTGGAGGACAGTGTGTTTCTGAAACAGAAAAGTGAGTATTCTCATATCTTGTTCATTGCTCCAAGTTTTATCACTTTAAAAACACATTCAGATTGCTGGTTTGTGGGAAAGTGAGTACAACAAAGATCAGGAGCAATGCTTTTAAAACTAGCTGAAATCATAAAAACAAAGTTGTAAGTACTTGGATTAAAAACAACGCTTTTAGCGGGATTTCAAGTGTCATTATATTCGCTAGTCATGTGCATTCAGGGAATGGCATTCCAAGGCTTTTATTAAAATACCTGTGAATTCTGAAAATTCCAGGAATTTTAGTACATATGTTGTCAGACATAAAAAGATTGAAAAAGTTCATTATTCATTGTTCATTAGTGTCCCTTTTCAAAACCTTTAGTAGTGATCCAGGAAGCAGAAACAATCCCATGTGAAGAATTACACAACAGAAAATATCTTAATGCCTCTATATAAAACCATAGTACGCACACGTGTTGAATACTGTGTACAGATGTGGTCGCCTCATCTCAAAAAGGATATATTGGTATTGGCAAAGGTTCAGAAAAAGGCAACAAAATGATAAGGGGTTTGGAATGGGTCCCATATGAGGAGAGATTTAAAAAAATGTGGACTTTTCAGCTTCTATTTGTCTGGAAATGGGTGACAGGAAAGGGATCAGGTGAGGATTACCTGTTGTGTTCCCTCCCTTTGGGGCATCTGGCATTGGTCACTGTTGGCAAACATGATAACTGGGCTAGATGGAGCTTTGATCTGACCCAGTGTGGATGTTCTTACGTTCTTTTTTCAAAATTAGTGTTATTCCTTGTGAAAAGCAGGAGTTATTTCAAAATAACCAGCCCATTATTTTGAAGTAGTGTGGACGTTCCACTTGTTATTTGGAAATAATGGGATTTATTTCAAAATAACTGCCTAATGTAGACCAGGGCATAGAAAACAACAACAACAATGGATAGTATCACGCGATTTTGAGTGTAAAACCCACTTCGTCAGATGAGCATATCTGATGAAGTGGGTTTTACCCACGAAAACTCATGATATTATATATTTTTGCTAGTCTCTAAGGTTCCACTGGACTTCTTATTGTTTCTCCTTCTCTGCTGGAGAGCCCTCATTGTTATCATCCTAGGATTACATTCAGGGGTCGATGACCATTTTGCGGGGCCCCAGGGCAGCACAATTTTGCAGGGCCCCTCTTTGCCATGGCGCATGCACGAGGCTTCTTGAAGCACGAGGTCTGGGGCAGCCGCCCTCGCCCTGCCCTATATCCACCCCTGATTACATTGGCACTTTGGGCCACAGGGTCATAATCTAAGTTCTCACTAAAATGCATAGCTGTGAGGCTGCACAGACATACCTATTAATCCCAGTAGAGGAGCTCAGGGTTGGAGGAGGGAGGGAAGATACCTCTCCACAAGATCCAGATCTTCCAGATCTGCCATGATAGGGGAGAGGCATATCTCCCTACTAGACCCATCCTAGAGCTGCCACGAGGAAAGAGGTGCCCCTTCCTGGGATTCCACCCAGCCTAGCCCTCATCCTCCAAGCTGGGGACAGGTGCTCTTCCCCTGGCCCAGCCTGCTGGAGGTACAATAGCCATAAACCAGCCCTTTCCTTTGCTCCTTTCCAATATAGGAACTGCATTGTGGATGAGACCTATGGTCCATCAAGTCCACGTTCATTTCTCTGACAGTGGCAGCCCCATATCCTCCAGAAGAAGGTATAAGCATGCCACCAATAGATGGATGTAGGACATTTGACTTGATGGTGATGAAGGTGTCACCCTAACACCAAACAGCTGGAGACTGCCTTTTGCCCTGTAACACATGGTGTGTACAGGCTTTCCAAAATACGGATTTAGCTGTCGCTATTGTTACTGGATGTTCTCACTTTCTATGTAAATGTCAAAGCCTTCCTGATTCTTGTATAGGTCATAGCTTCAAGTACCTGTGCTGGGAATGACTTCTTCAGTCTCATTAGGCATCAAGGGAAGAAAGCATTTGTTTTCTATTTTCAATTTTCCACATTTGACTTGAATTGAATATCCTCTTGATCTTGCGTTATGAGACTGGAAGAACTCATCCTCAATCTACTCTCTGCCAGTCTGAATATTACAGAATTTTCTCATCTCCCCTCTGATTAATGTCCTTTGTAAGGTAACAATCCCAAGATTTTCAACCTCTCTCTATATGGGGTTTTCCCACATTCTTGACCTTTCTTGAACACCTGTATCATGTGTGAAAAGGGTCCCAGCAGAACACAGAACCCAGACAAGCGTGAAATATTGATTGAACACATGGCTTTAAATTTTCATGATCCCAATGTTTTGTACAGTTTCTCTGAGTGTTTGTAGTGTCAGCAGGGTTTCACAGATCTGGGTAGCATGATGGTCAGATCCCTATCCTGAGATCATACAGTTAAATTAGAACCTTGGTAGGATTTGGTGGAGTTCAAACTTTTCCATCTGATGGATGTACACTTTGGAATTGTTGACATAGAAGTTCATCTGACATCATGGTATCTGTTCACCATGGTTAGTACCTTCTGAGAACTTCTTTGGATTTGACCACGACTTCAATAGTGCCATCAGTGGTGCCATCTGTAATCTTTGCCATCTCGCTTCACGTCCTCCTTTCTAGATTTTTTAGATATGGAATATTTACTGCACAAAATGCAGTGTAAATGTGTAAACATCCTTGCTGTTCTCTCTCTCTTCCTTCACAGGCACCTTGAGAATCTCTGGGCCCGATCAACACATGAAACAGCTCATGGCATCTTTCAACCTCACCACCTCAGACCCATCCGTGTTCATCCTAATGGGCATCCCTGGCCAGGAATCTGCTCACATCTGGATTGCCATCCCTTTCTGTATCTCCTACATTGTCTGCCTGTTGGGAAATTTGGCAATTGTGTTTCTTGTAGGCAAAGATCAGACCCTGCACAAGCCGATGTACCTGTTGATCTGCATGCTGGCGCTCACAGACGTTTGCATAACAAACTTCTTCATGCCAAAGGCACTGTGCATATTTTGGTTCAATTGGAAGGGTATCACGATGAGTGGCTGCCTAACTCAGATGTTCTTCCTTCACACGCTTGCTTTTACGCAGTCAGCTATCTTTGTGACGATGGCCTTTGATCGCTACATTGCCATATGTGACCCTCTGAGATACACCATCATCCTCACCAATGCACGAATAGCTAAGCTGGGCCTGGTGGGCTTGTTGAGGTCAGCTCTCATAATGTTGCCTCTGCCCATGTTACTGAGTAGGCAGCCATTCTGTGCCAACCGCACGATCGCCCACACGTACTGTGAGCACATGGCTGTGGCAAAGCTGTCCTGTGGGGATATTACAGTCAGTGGGACATACAGCTTGGTGATAACAGTACTAGTAGTTGGGTTAGACCGGATTCTCATTGTTGTCTCCTTTGGTCTTATCATTAAGGCTATTCACAGAATCTCCTCAAAGAAACCCTCTTGGAAAGCCCTCAACACCTGCACTTCCCACATCTGTGTGATGCTTGCCAGTTACATTCCCGGCTTCTTCACCAGCTTGACACACCGGTTCGGTCAGGGTATCTCTCCCCATATTCACGTCATCTTGGCCAGTCTCTATCTCCTTGTCCCCCCCATGCTCAACCCCATCATTTATGGGGTCATAAATAAAGAGCTGCATGGGAAAGTGGGCAAACACATCCACAGAAAGTAATCACAAGGACACAGTGTTGTGTGAGAAGATGGGAAAAAGAATAATTTCCCTGTTAATCAAGGATGGGAGCAGCACAGTATTTCCGCAAAAGCACTGACAATCTTACATGAGATCGTCAGTGCTTTTCCGGAAATTCAAGCGGCCAGTGTAGACAGCTGGCAAGTTTTTTCAGAAAAGCAGCTGCTTTTCCAGAAAAACTTGCCAGCTTTCTACACTGGCCGCTTGAATTTCTGGAAAAGCACTGACGATCTCATGTAAGATTGTCAGTGCTTTTGCGGAAATACTGTGCTGCTCCCATTCGGGCAAAAGTCTTTTTCCGAAAAACTTTTGTGCAAAAGGGCCAGTGTAGACAGCAGAGATTTGTTTTCTGCAAAAAAGCCCCGATCGCGAAAATGGCGATCGGGGCTTTTTTGCAGAAAAGCGCATCTAGATTGGCCACGGACGCTTTTCCGCAAAAAGTGTTTTTGTGGAAAAGTGTCCTGCCAATCTAGACGCGCTTTTCCGAAAATGCTTTTAACGGAAAAATTTTCCGTTAAAAGCATTTCCGGAAAATCATGCCAGTGTAGACGTAGCCCTAATGTCTTGTCACTCTATCACCAAACCCTGCTCTCTCCATTACTCCCTCTCATTTCTCTGATCATCATGCGACTTCTTTCATTGTCATTCATCTGCTCCTATCCCCATAAACCTTGACGCTCATGTCTCTATAATTCCCCAACTTCCTGAAGTCACAGCAGCTTTCTCATCCAGTGTTGCTTTCCATTACTCCCTGGGGCTATGTCTACATGGCAGCATTATTCTGAAATAACTTAGTCCCTGTCTACGCAGGAAGCCGTTATTTCAATATAATGTTGAACTAAAGTCAAGGTAGAGGATTGCTTATTCTGACTCCTGTAACACTCATTTTACAAGAAGAAAGGGAAGTCAGAGGAGGAGTGCTCTAACTCGGACTTCCTGCTGCGTAGAGAACACCAAAAGCTAAAATAAACTATTTTGATTTATGCTATGCAATTGATGTAGCTCAAGCTGCATCGCTTATTTCGGCGTTAGCCCTGCTGTGTAGACATGCCCTGAGTGAACAAAGTTTGCATCCATTTGATAAACAGAAGCTTTCAAATAGCCAAAAGAAAAGTAAGAAATTAAACTGCTGCATTTATTTATCATATGCAGAGTGATCCCTTAAAAAAAGTTACCTGATTTTTTTTGTCCCATTTTTTTCAGGAAAGCCCAGGAGATAAACCAAATAAAGATTAACTTTTCTAAAGTAATTCAACAGAAAAAGTGCACATTATCTATCATCATTGAATGCAATTAGAAATAAATAATACAATATGTTGTTTTCACTGAATAGACTTTGGTCTACTTTGGGGCTATTTGTAATGCTGTCATTTGCCATTTTTAGTTTGAAAATGCCAACCCTCCACTTGCCAACACTCCATTGGGATAGAAGTACCAGTAGCGGGCATTTGATGTTGATTTTAATTATTATTTCATAGGCTTTTTGTTAATGTGGATTAAGTGCTGCTGGGGTTTATTGCCTTTTTTTTTAACTCACATTTGTAGTAGGTATCTAAAGAAAACCACCATTTATTATTGGATGTATAGACTTATGTGTGAATAAAGACTCTCTCTGCTTCTGGAAACAACGTGTTCCAATTTAGGTTGATTTATAGTGAATTTGGGTTATTTGTGCAGTAGAATTTTAGAGAAAGTGAATAAGAAAAAGTTATTTACGTGTTCCCATTACATGAGAAGTAGGGTCACCACATGAAATTAATACATAGCAGGTTTAAAACAAAACAAAAGGGAGTTTTTCTTCATACAGTGCACAGTCAACCTGTGGAACTCCTTGCCAGAGGATGTGGTGAGGACTAGGAGTTTGACAGGGTTAAAAAAAGAACTAGATAAATTCATGGAGCCTCTGTTTGTCAGAGGCTGGGAATGGATGACAGGAGAGGGATCACTTGAATGATTCCCTGTTCTGTTCACTCCCTCTGGGACATCTGGTATTGACCACTGTTGGAAGACAGGACACTGGGCTAGATGAACCTTTGGTGTGACCTAGTATGGCCATTCTATCATTCTTATGTAACCCCCTTCCCCCCCCACCCGGGTTACTGGGGAGCAGGTCCACTTCACAGATGTGCCTGGGCGCCTGATGTTTTAACCCAAAAGAGATCCTGAGCACCCCAGTGGTGATGGTGTTTAGTTGGGGAAAGCCCTATCCACCCCCTTGCTGCAGTCCCTTGCTGGCAATTAATGTAAAATGGCGGTGCCATCATTATTTATGATGCCCCGAACTTTGCACCATCTGCAGACTTGATCAATATTCAGGCACCTAAAATGCTGAGACATTTCTCTGATTATGCTTGTGTGTTAATACAGAATGCCTTTATCCCCAAATATGAAGTCTGTTGTGCCCTTCATGCTCATTTCTGTTGAGCACAAAGTCATGTCACAGCATTATAATGTCTGTTTCCATCAGGGAAAGTTGGTTGCATTCCAATCTAGGAATTGCATCATGGATTATACCTATGGTCCATCTATTCCAGTGTTCTCTCTCTCTAACAGTGACAGCCCCAGGTACTGCCTAAGAAAGTGTAAGAAACCCAGAATAAGAGGATGGGGGTGAGCTAATCATCTTGAGGGTGTCATCTTAATGACTAGCAGCTAGAGACTGGCCTTTCCCATGACATAGGTGGCTATGTATTTATTTAGCTAGTCGCACTATCCACGTAAATGATCAAATTCAACTTAATTCTTATTTGGCTCATGGCCCCAATTACCATTTATGTCAGTGAGTTCCTCATTTTAATTAGGCGAGGAGTGAAAAAAGCACAATTTGTTCATCTATTTTGAATTGGCCACGTTTCAGCTACATTGAATGTCCTCTTGGTTTTGTGTTATGAGACACCAGAGCAGATCGACCTCCAGAGCTCCTCTTGGTTTTGTGTTATGAGACACCAGAGAAGATCGACCTCCAGAGCTTAATCGATCTTCTAGCATTCGATTTAGCAGGTTTAGTGTAGACTCTCAAATCAAACGTGGAAGGCAGCCCCCTCCATCATCCTACACTCTTCATTCTGTGAGATGTAAGGGAAACCGTGGAAGCTTGGCTTATGTATATCTGGATGGTGTACTTTAAGCCGACCTTCCTGGTCTAATATAGACCAGGGGTTACAGAATTTGTTTATATCCCCTCTTACACATATCCTTTGTAAGGTAACAGTCTTTTTTCAACCACTCACTATATTGCCATTTCCCCAGGTACTTGGAAATTCTTGTTCCTCTTGCTCGAACACTTCTCCTTCTGCAATATCCTGTGTGAGAAGGGTACCTTGTACTACACATCAGAGTCCAGAGGAGAATGCAACATTGACATTTATCATGGTCTTATATTTACTCTATGGTCCTCAATCTCACTCCTCCAGAATCCCAGTGCTTTGCTTCATTTTTGTCCATGCTTTATCCATAAGCAGGATTACACAGAACTCTCCAATGACACCTAAGTCACTTTTCTGAATTCAGTTAAATTAAAACTTTCCAAGGTGCTTGGGGACTTCTAGTTTTCCCAGTAGGACATCCACATTTCAGGTTTTGACATCAAAGTTCTCCTGCCATTCTCCTGATCATTCACCAGGCCTGGTTAGCTCCCTCTGAGGATTTCTCAGGGCTTGTCTATGACCTAAATAATTTGGTACCATCTGTAAATCTTTACACCCCCCTATTCATGACCTTTTCTAGATTGGTAATAATTATGAGATATTTACCTCAGTATTTGTTATAAAGTGTGTAGCCCTCCTTGCTGTGCTTCTCTCTTTCACAGGTGCCTTGAGAGTTTTGGGGCTTGACTGACAATTGACAACTTCATGGCAATTTTTAACTTCAGCATCTCTGACCCTTCAACATTCACCCTAACAGGAATCCCTGGCTTGGAAGCTGCCCATGTCTGGATTTCCATCCCTTACTGTGCAATCTACATTATTGGCTTGTTGGGAAATGTCACACTTCTGTTTATTGTAAGCAAAGAGCAGTCCCTACACAAGCCAATGTTCCTGCTGCTCTGCATGCTGGCACTCACCGACATCGGCACCACAACCTCCGTCGTACCAAAGGCCCTGTGTATATTTTGGTTCAATTGGCAAGGCATTACTGTGGCTGGCTGCCTCACCCAGATGTTCTTCCTTCATACAGGCTCTATGATGCACTCAGCCGTCCTTGTGGCAATGGCCTTCAATCGCTACATTGCCATATGTAACCCTCTGAGATATGCCACTATTCTAACTAATGCACGCATAGCTAAGCTTGGGCTAATGGGTTTGTTAATACCGACTGTCTTAATTCTTCCCTTGCCCCTGCTCTTGAATAGGCAGTCATTTTGTGCCAATGTTATCATCCCCCACACCTACTGTGACCACATGGCTGTAGCGAAGATGTCATGTGGAGACATCACTGTCAACAGCATATATGGCTTAGTGGTAGCATTTGTAGTTATTGGGTTAGACCTCATGCTCATTGCTCTGTCTTATGGTCTGATCATCAAAGATGTCCTCAAGATCTCCTCCAGGAAAGCCCATCAGAAAGCCCTCAACACCTGCACTGCCCACGTCTGTGTCATTCTGATGTCTTACCCTTCCTTCTTCTTCTCCACTCTCACGTACCGGTTTGGTCAGGGCATCGCTCCCCATGTGCACATCATCTTGGCCAACCTCTATTTGCTTCTTCCTCCCATGTTTGATCCCATCATTTATGGGGTCAAAACCAAAGAGCTCCGTGAGAAAGTGGGCAAATACACCTGCAGAATGATCGCCTGGGGCCACTGACATTAAACTTGTGTGACCAGAGAGGGAAAGGAGACTTCCTTGTGAATCAAGGGAACTTTCTCCAGGTTTGTCTGAGCTCAGAGAAGTGATTGTTCCCCTTTATTCAGCATGGATGAGGTGTCTTCTAGAGTGCTGTGTCCAATTCTGGGCCCCCATTACAGAAAGGATGTGGACACATTGGAAAGAGTCCAGCGGAAGGCAAAAAATGATGAGGGGGCTGGAACACATGACCCACGAAGACAGGCTGAGGGATTTGGGCTTATTTAGTCTACAGAAGAGAAGAGTGAAGGGGGATTTGATAGCAACCTCTACCTACCTGAAGAGGAGTTCCAAAGAAGCTGGAGAGAGGCTGACCTCAGTGGTGACAGATGACAGAACGAGGAGCAATGGTCTCAAGTTGCAGTGGGGAGGTCTAGGTTGGATATTAGGAAAATCTATTTTGCCAGGAGGCTGGAGAAGCACTGGGATGGGTTCCCAAGGGAAGTGGTGGAAGCTCCATCCCTAGAGGCTTTTAAGACCTGGCTTGACAAAGCACTGGCTGGGATGATTTAGTTGGGGTTAGTCCTAATTTTAGGACTCAATGAGCTCCTGAGGTCTCTTCCAAACCCAGGATTAATGCCAGAGAAGCAGGCCAGAAAGCCGAGCTGGGTGGGAGACATAGAGGGCCAGGGCTGGGCTGAAGGCAAAGTTTCTGTGCTGAGGCAGAGCTGGGGAGTTGCAGCCGGAGCAGAGCAGAAATGGGAGTTGGGACCATAGAGACCAACAGGATCAAGTTTTAGCTACTGCAGGGAGCAAGCCAGCATAGGGAATGCTGGACATGCCAGAAGCAGCACAGCAGCTGAGCACAATGAGCAGCTGGATGCTGCAAGGTGGGGGCCTGGGCAAAGGGCTCAGCACAGGGAGATGTCACCAGACAACAGGGCCTGGAAGGCTGGACTCATAATGAGGGGGGCATGAACCTAATGGGAAAGCAGATGCAGGGGAGAAGGGTCCTGACAGCTAGGGCCTGAGGGCGTGTGGGGAACAGGCTGTGGATCCAGACCTGTCCCCTCGCGTTGAGATAGGTGCAACAACAGTTCAGTAGGGCCCTCAGCCCTTTGTCAACCCCCAACCCTCACTCTCACACTCCCCACATCCTGAGGCCCCTGTCCTGAAACCCTCCTCCACACCCTCACCTTGACTCCTGCACCCCCAACCCCTCCATCCTCCTGCCTGAGCCCCCCACATTCCCAAGGTCCTGCTCTGACTGCTGCACCCCCTACCCCATTTTATTAATTCATTTTCTGAAAATCTAGATTTACAGGAGCTCGCACAAAAAGGTTTTTTCCTGACAAATAGCCCTGTCTACATGGGGCTTTTTATTGGCAAAACCTCTTCTGCAAAAAGAATGGGAAGAAGATATGCAAATGCGAGCATGATTTGCATATCCCTTTCTGCAAAAAAATGGCAGTGTAGCCGTAGCCACAGTGTTGTTCAGAAGTGGGATCATATCCCAAGGTGATGCTCCTTTCTCTCTTGTCAACACCATGCTCACATATGTCCTTTGGATCTGGAAGTACTGGTTTCTCACAACATGTTGTGCTGCTTATCAGCAAGCACAGAAAAAAGCCACAATAGCCTTAAGAACACAAGAACATAAGAACGGCCATACTGGGTCAGCCCAAATATCTATCTATCCCAGTCTCTTGTCTTCCAACAGAGGCCCGTGCCAGATGCCCCAGAGGGAGTGAACACAACAGGGAATTATCACGTGATCCCTCTCCTGTCACCTATTTCCAGCCCCTGACAAACAGAGGCTAAGGAAGCCATTTCTACATATAAGCCCCTGACAAACAGAGGCTAGGGAAGCCATTTCTACATATTCTGGCTAATAAATATTGATGGACCTAACCTCCATGAAATTATCTAGTTCTTTTTTGAACCCTGTCAAAGTCCTAGTCCTCACCACATCCTCTGGCAAGGAGTTCCACAGGTCGACTGTGCACTGCATGAAGAAAAACTTCCTTTTGTTTGTTTTAAACCTACTAGCTATCAATTTCATTTGGTGACCCCCTAGTTCTTATGTTATGGGAACAAGTAAATAACTTTTCCTTATTCTCATTCTCCATACCTGTCATGATTTTATAGACCTCTATCATATCCCCCCATTAGTCTCCTTTTTTCTAAGATGAAAAGTCCCAGTCTTGTTAATCTCTCTTCATATGGCAGCTGTTCCAAACCATTATTCTTCAGTAGCATTTATTTGTCCTGTTAACTCATTGAGCTTCCTTTGAATCAACTTCTTGGGTTTATTCCTCAGTGGGTTTCCGACCCGTTTGTGCATATCCACATGCCTCAACTTCATATGCATCCAAGAAATGTTTCACATCACATCTCCTCCTTTATGAGGCTGATTCTCACTACCCTTAGAACTGCCTTCTAGGGGTGGGGTGGACTGTCCCTCTTCCGTAGCCATCTGATCTACAGGCACTTTCATTCAAATTCAGTGGCTAGTTGCCCACTCGCTATGGAGAAAGGGTGTCAGGAAAACAAGATGGCTTTAGACCGCTGATCCAAACTTCACTGTGTTAGCTAGTATTTTAACTTCCACAAAATACAAAGGTCATAGCGATCCCTACTGTCATCATTTTCCCTATGTTTTAATGCATCTTTAATATCAGAAGCATTTATACTTCTGGAGGAAGAAACAGCAACAGGAATCTTGGAAATGGCAGAGATGCTCAATGACTTCTTTGTTTTGGTCTTCACCGAGAAGTCTGAAGGAATGCCTAACCTAGTGAATGCTAGTGGGGAGGGGTAGTTTTAGAAGGTAAAATACAAAAAGAACAAGTTAAAAATCACCTAGAAAAGTTAGATGCCTGCAAATCACCAGGGCCTGTTTAAATGCATCCTAGAATACTCAAGGACCTGATAGAGGAGGTATCTGAGCATTTAGCTATCATCTTTGGAAGATCATGGGAGAGAGGAGAGGTTCCAGAAGACTGGAAAAGGGTAAATATAGTGCCCATCTATAAAATGGGAAATAAGAACAACCCAGGAAACTACAGACCAGTTAACTTCTGTGCCAGGGAAGATAATGGAGTAAGTAATTAAGGAAATCATCTGTAAACACTTGGAAAGTAGCAAGCCTGCATGGATTTGTAAAGAACAAATCATGTCAAACCAATCGGATAGCTTTCTTTGATAGGATAACGAGTCTTGTGGATAAGGGAGAAGCAGTGGATATGGTATATCTAGACTTTAATATATTTGATACAGTCTCACATGATATTCTTATCGATAAACTAGGTAAATACAACTTAGATGGGGCTACTATAAGGTGAGTGCATAACCGGCTGAATAACCGTACTCAGAGAGTATTTATTAATGGTTCACAGTCCTGCTGGAAAGGCATAACAAGTGGGGTTCCGCAGGGGTCTGTTTTGGGACCAGCTCTGTTCAATATCTTCATCACTGATTTAGATATTGGTATAGAAAGTATATGCTTATTAAGTTTGCAGATGATACCAAGCTGGGAGGGGTTGCGACTAATCTGGAGAATAGGGTCATAATTCAAAATGATCTGTTCAAATTGGAGAAATGGTCTGAGGTAAATAGGATGAAGTTTAATATAGACAAATGCAAAGTGCTCCACTTAGGAAGGAACAATCAGTTTCAAACATACAGAATGGGAAGTGACTGTCTAGGAAGGAGGACGGCAGAAAGGGATCTAGGGGTTATAGTGGACCACAAGTTGAATATGAGTCAGCAGTGTGATGATGTTGCAAAGAAAGCAAACATGATTCTGGGATGCATTTATAGGTGTGTTGTGAGGAAGACACGAGAAGTCATTTTTCCGCTCTACTCTGCTCTGGTTAGGCCTCAATTGGAGTATTGTGTTCAGTTCTGGGCACTGCATTTCAAGAAAGTTGTGGAGAAATTGGAGAGGGTCCAGAGAAGAGCCACGAGAATGATTAAAGGGCTAGAGAACATGACCTATGAGGAAAGGCTGAAGGAATTAGGTTTGTTTAGTTTAGAAAAGAGAAGATTGAAGGGGGACATGATAGCAGTTTTCAGATATCTAAAAGGGTGTCATAAGGAGAAGAGAGAAAACTTGTTCATCTTGGCCTCTGAGGCTAGAACAAGAAGCAATGGGCTTAAACTGCAGCAAGGGAAGTTTAGGTTGGACATTAGGAAAAAGTTCCTAAATGTCAGGGTAGTCAAACACTGGAATAAATTGCCCAGGGAGGTTGTGGAATCTTCATCTGTGGAGATATTTAAGAGTAGGCTAGATAAATGTCTATCAGGGATGGTCTAGACAGTATTTGGTCCTGCCATGAGCGCAGGGACTGGAATCGATGATTGGCTGTTCTTGCACAAAAACTTGTTGAGCGTCAACACTGCACACGTGTTCTTGTGCAAGTAAATTCACAGTTGATCATCAGAAGGGAGGGCTTCTTGCGCAAGAGTTATTCCTCTCCCCACAAGGAATAAGCCCTCTTGCGCAAGAGCTCTTGCACAAGAAGGCAGTGTAGACGGGTAACAGGAGTTTCTTGAGCAAGAAACCCCCATTGGTAAAATGGCTATCAGAGCTTTCTTGTGCAAGAAAGCATCCACAATGTCATGGACACTCTTGAGCAAAAGCACATGGCAGTGTGGATGCGCTCTTGCGCAAAACAGTACTTGCGCAAGAAGTCTTCAGTGTAGAAGTAGCCAGAAGGTTTTAATTAATTTATTTTCTTTCATTCTCGTGTAGTTCTTTGTCTGCCCCTCCTCCCATTGTGTTTGACAGAATCTGTAAGCTAGATTTTGATTTTTCTTCTAAAATGCTGCTTTCCAATGAAACCTTTATTATGTGGCATTCATTTTATTAATTCATAATGGGCCGAGTGCTTGATTGCTTGATCACATTCTCGGACACTCTGTTCTCCCAAAACCAGGGTAACGCAGTTCAGCTCTCAAAAGCATACCATTTCACAAGTCTCACCTGTGAATTCTAGTGGAATGTCTTCAGTTTTGCTCTAGTAACACTTTCCAATGACAATTTTTGGTTTTACCCCCCAAGCTTCCTGGAGTATTAGACATGAGAATCCCAAGTATATTTTAGATAAAGGATCATTACACATAACATTAAAGAAGTTCAGCCCTATTGTTTCTTTCTTTTGCATTGGCTATCTGAAAGCTTGGCTTTAGTTCATCAAACTGATGGAGAACCATGTTCACACATGGACTAATGGAAGGCCATCTTATCTCAGAAAGCTGCAGTATTTCTCTTGGTGTGGAAGTCATGGAAAAGCTGATTCATAAGGTGTAGGGGATGGGGTCTGAAAGGTTACACTGAAAGCAATCAAGTTATGATGAGGGACAGGGAATCCAACAACAGAGAGACCCATGCTTGGAGATGGAGGCATGAATTATTAGGTGTGAGAACGTCTCAGACTATGAAATTCTACAGCATTGAACTCAGCCAAACTGGGGTAGATCACCATTACTTAACGAATCACACAGTCAGTGACCCCTCAGTGACCAACTTCTGCAGGTGTATTTCCCAATTCCATCACGAAGCTCTTTGGTTTTGACCCCATAAATGATGGGGTTGAGCATGGGGGGAAGGAGGAAATGGAGGTTGGCCAAGATGATGTGAACATACGGAGCAATGTCCTGACCAAACCGGTGTGTAATCGTGGAAAAGAGGAAGAGACTACAAGATATCAGCATCACACAGATGTGGGCAGTGCAGGTGTTGAGGGCTTTCTGGTGGGCTTTCTTGGAGGAGATTCTGAGGATGGCCCTGGCAATCAGACCGTAGGACAAGGCAACGAGCATCACATCTAACCCTAAGACAACAAACACCACCACCAAGCCGTACATCCTGTTGACAGTGATGTCCCCACAGGACAGCTTCGCCACAGCCATGTGCTCACAGTACGTGTGGGAGATAGTGTGGCTGGCACAGAATGGCTGCCTACTTAGAAGCACGGACAGCGGTAGAACAATGAGGGTAGCTCTTAACAAACCTAATAGCCCCAGCTTCGCGATGCGTGCGTTGGTGAGGATGGTGACATATCTCAGGGGGTTGCATATGGCCACGTAGCGATCGAAGGCCATAGTCACAAGAATGGCTGATTGCATCACAGAAACTGCATGAAGGAAGAATGTCTGGGTGAGGCAGCCAACCAGAGTAATGTCTTTCAAATTGAACCAAAATATACACAGGGCCTTTGGCACGACGGAGGTAGACGTGACGATGTCTGTGAGTGCCAGCATGCAGATCAGCAGGTACATCGGCTGGTGCAGGGTCTGCTCTTTGCCAACAACCAGCAGAACGGTGACATTTCCCAGCAGGCCAATAATGTAGGACACAGAGAAAGGGATGGAAATCAAGATGTGGGCAGCTTCCAGTCCGGTGATTCCCATAAGGATGAATGTTGAAGGGGTAGAGACAGTGAGGTTCGATACTTCCATGAGGTAGTTGATGCATTGACCAGACTCCAAAATATTGAAGGTGCCTGTGAAGGATGAAAATCATAGTGAGAGCCTTTAAACACTTGATAGAAAATATTACAATGAAAATTGTAGAATTATTAACAATCTAGAAAGGGGGATGAGCAGTGATGTGTAAACAATTACAGATAGGGCTAGATTATTTACATCCTAGTGAAGTGGAATTACTGGATATAAGATGGATATAAGTCAACAACTGGATGGTAAGCTGGATATAAGTCAACAATATGCCCTCGTAGCCAAGAAGGCTAATGGCATATTAGGTTGTATTAGGAGGAGCATTGCCAGCAGATCCAGAGAAGTGATTATTCCCCTTTATTCGGCTCTCGTGCGGCCACATCTGGAGTGTTGTGTACAGTTCTGGGCCCCCCACTATGTAAAGGATGTGGACGCATTGGAGAGTGTCCAGCGGAAGACAACCAAAATGATGAGGGGGCTGGAACACATGACCCACGAAGACAGGTTGAGGGATTTGGGCTTATTTAGTCTGCAGAAGAGAAGAGTGAGGGGGGATTTGATAGCAGCCTTCAGCTTCCTGAAGGGAGATGCCAAAGTGGATGGAGAGGGGCTGTTCTCAGTAGTGATGGATGGCAGAATGAGGAGCAATGGTCTCATGTTGCAGTGGGATAGTCTAGGTTGGACATTAGGAAAAACTATTTCCCTAGGAGGGTGGGGAAGCACTGGGATGGGTTCCCTAGGGAGGTGGTGGAATCTCCATCCCTAGAGGTTTTGAAGTCCCAGCTTTACCAAGCCCTGGCTGGGATGATTTAGCTGGATTTGGTCCTGCTTTGGGAAGGGAGCTGGACTTGATGACTCCCAAGGACTCTTCCAACTCTACGATTCTATGATTCTAAATCCAGAGAATTCCACAGAGCGAACTAACCAAGCCAGATGAATGGGTGTAATGAATGTTATTACAGGCAGTCCCCGGGTTACGTACAAGATAGGGACTGTAGGTTTGTTCTTAAGTTGAATCTGTATGTAAGTCGGAACTGGCGTCCAGATTCAGCCGCTGCTGAAACTGATCAGTTTCAACAGCGGCTGAATTTGGACGCCAGTTCTGACTTACATACAGATTCAACTTAAGAACCCCAGGCATCCCCAAGTCAGCTGCTGCTGAAACTGATCAGCGGCTGATTCCAGGAAGCCCGGGGCAGAGGCTTCCTG